GCCGAGTATTTATGGTAACATTTATTCCTATGTTCAATTCGTTCCATAGCTTCATATTCATGGGCCCCATGTCACTTGTCACAGCCACAACAATATATTGCACTTCGTAAAGCCTGTTAATTATTGTTAATAGAGTATGCGCAGACATAGGCTTATCAAATTCGTAATATATTGGCTGCTTCCATTTATGAAATAATCCTCGAGTCATTACGAATTGACAGGTTTTGTTAGGTCCATACACTTTTTGTTCTTTCCGATGTAAATCTATCTTATTAGAAATATATAATTCGTCAAATGTTAAAACTGTTAATTTGTCCTCTGTCCCTAGATTCTGCCCTTTCTCTTTCATAATGTGGAGCACATCGGTCAAAATACCAGGTGGAATATTAAACGTTGCACCCCAATTATTCAAGGTGGTCATACATGGCAGTGGCATTTTCTTTACGTTCCGTAGATATCGATAGGCCTTTGGACTTATGGCCCGTAAAGCAATAGCAGATGTGATATCTTCAGCAGACCATTTTATGCGAGTATTAGTGTTTGAAGATAATAACAGTTTTATTTGTCCAGGGGTAAACACTTTCTGCAACACATGTATAGACACTTTAACATCTTTTTCGTTATTCACGGTCATTTGTGTAATGCTCTCAGATTTTTGGTGCACAGTCTTATAGTTCCATCTGTTGTTTCAACTTTTCATTGTCTCCGAGAAGTGTCTGCTTTTCTTGCAATAGTTCATTTTTCTCTTTCAGTAACATTTCCTTTTCTTTTTTTTCTTTTGTTAACAGCTGCATTAATTTTTCTACGGACATGTTTTCTTTATCTTCCACATTTTCTTCACTTCTATAAAATACAAATATGTGCTTTAATAGCAATATATTATAATATAGACTTATAACATTAAACACTTTAAACATGTAGATATTATGCCATACATCGTGTTTGTCTCTTCTGTTGTTACATCTAATCCAAGAGTATCCATATTTGTCTCTTGTATGGGTCCTTCTTTAACAATTTTATTTGAAAGATTGTCCCCTTGTTTATGCATTTGCTGTTTTTGCTGTGCATATTTCACGAGTTCAGCATAAGTTAGTATATCCGTTTTTACTCTTAAATATTTATATTTATATTATTATATTTATTATTATTATTTATTATTATTTATTTATTAGTATTAGTATTTTTAGTGTTTATTTTTTCCCTGCTTTCTAAGTTAAAATTAAAATGTACATAAGGTAAATATACATGTAGATGTATATATACATATATGTATGTAGTATAGTGTGTACCCAGCAAACACCAAAGTAACAGTTACCCAGATAGCAAAATGCTAGAAATATGCCAGCAATTATACATAACATCAATATCAGCAAACACCAGTAACAGTTACATAACATCAATATAAATGTAATATGCATATTACATTTATATTGATGTTATGTAACTGTTACTTTGGTGTTTGCTGGGTACTTACTTTGCTTTCATTTTACTTTTCTTTTCTATATATAACAGTAAACTTGGCACGGAATTATTTTTCAATCTATATAGTTGTTTTGCTGGTAGATTTCGTGCACGTGGTTTTGTCCATTTCATTTCGAAACATTCATCTTCGAAATGCAGATTGCATATTCTTGCTACAAATATATATCGAACATGTAATACGCATGATCTCTAATATTATATGTAAGGAATATATACTATCTATTGTTATGTTATTCTCTGAACATTTATTACAGAATTTACGTGTGTTGTATGTCATTATACATATTGAGATCATATACACATAATAATACATACTTACTAGTATTAATATTTATATCTTTTTCATTTCGTCTACATGCTTTAATCCATTGCTGGCGGATGAATTTGTCTTGTGGAAATCGAAATAATGTTGTTTTGTGTGCACTGTCTGTGCGGTTTGTACAATTTATTATACAACACGCTGGCATAATTTTACTTCTTTTCTACAAGTTATGATTCGTATTATATATACTTGACACTGATTGAACGTATATTTTTAAGTAATTCCTATACTTATGCAATCGTTTGCATTTCGTATGAAGACATTTAAAGCACATTTGTTTGTTTTAGTTTTTCTTTGTTTTTAAATCGGAAAAATAACATTTTCGATAATTTAACAGATATCATATAAAATGTGTAATAAAACATGTAATAATTAGTATGATAGTAGAAATCAGCAGAAACAACATTTTTGTAGCACGCTTGTATTATTTTAAGTATTTTTACATTATTCTTTCAAATATCTACATTTTAAGTACATTCGACTAATATTTTAGACATATGTGATCGTTTCGTATTCAAATTGCGCGGGTGCATTTGGACCCAATTCTTATTGGTCGAGACATGGACTACTGCGCATACACGATGTTGTTACACCTTTCTTTTTACATCATGGGCGTGATGGCAGCATCAGCCGGGTCAGATCGTGCAGCGCCGCACGAGCGCTGCTCGCGCATGCCCGATCGCAACACGAGGCGACGCCGCGACGGTGCGCCTTCATGTGCGTTACCGGCGCTTTTGGCTCATGGCAACCGTACAGAGTAACACGCGTCGTGTAGTGCTAAAGATCTTTCGAGTGCTCTTGTGGACCTTCTCATCCGAGACTAGACTCAGTGCAGACACGTAGTGAACTCTCATCAGTGCGACTCATCCCGGACGGCTCAGAAACAGCATCAACGGCGGCTCAGACTCACCACGCATCGCGCACGCCGGCGCCGCGTGGACACGGCTCACGAGCATCTACACTCACGAGGCCGGCTCTCGATCAGTAATATCGACCCGCGCAAGTGAATTAAGACTTTTCATCCACCGTTAGCTCATAGACTGCTCAACTGTAAGCATATTACACTTATTAAACTGTGATACGGTATTATACTCGAACTATCAGAGTTCTCATATCACGTGATTTCCAACCGCTCACGCGTGCATTCTTTCCTTGAGCCTCTTGTCGCTAAGTCCTCTCACCCTGCTTCCATCCGCAGCGGTACCAGCGAACTCTCGAAAATATTTATTATATTATTTTCGAACAAATAATTTATTATTTATCTTTTCAAGGCATAATTTCCGAAAACTTGTACCCCCTGCTTGTGTGTGTATGTGTGCGTGCGCGTGTGTTCTTTGTAAATATTGTCTGTAAAGCAGAGAATACATTCTCTGCTTTAACCTAACGCACAAGTTCAATACTATTCGAAGTATTCTTTGCTTTACCTAAATCCACTTAAAATTTCGCGCACCATTACGTCACTACGCATGCTCAGTCAGTCTGCGCCGCACCCGTATAGCGTCAGTTCGTGTCGGTACGACAGGTATCCTAACCCCAAAACCGTCACTTTTCAACACGTTATAACTTTTTTTCTGTGGCAGAGCGACGATTTTTACTTTTACAGTTGTGTTTTACGCATCGAAATACACAATATTGCTAAGTTACAGTCAGATCGGTGAGGTTGCCGCTCTCCTTCAGTATTACCATATTTTCTCCCAAACTCCCAAACTATGAAAAGGGGCTTGGTCACGCCTTATATATTAAGTAGGTCCGGTCCTATATCTTTTGGTTTTTATTCCGGTTTTATAATTGGTTTCAACTATTTAAGCCTTGGTATTGCGGTTTTATTCAACCAGGCTGTTCTTATTCTGTCCTTGCCGGTGAAAGCGGAACGATATGTTCTTACATTCCATATATCTGTACGGCCATAATCAAATATTGTATTTCGAGTGTTATGCCATCCATCTGGAACGTCCGCGTACTCTCCAAAGTCATAACAGCAATATGAGCGCATTGTACCTATTTGCTCTTTTCTTGCTCTTACAGCGGTTATCAACGCACCTACTGTTATTCTTTTGTCCTCTTGATTAGGACTACATTGTCTTACCTCTCTTTCAAGGTATTGTGTAACGCGGGAGAACTCTTCATCTTGATTCACGTCCCGTTCTTGCCACTGTACTTGTGACACTGAGCCATTAGGAGTAATTCCTAAAGTGGGCATAGTCTTAATCAGTCTCTCGAGCTGTCTAACAAAATCAGCGATTTTCTCAAACAATGGTTTATTCATTTGGAACTTTGGTATTGTTGCTCCAAAATCATCAGGTCCTATTCCTGCTCCTTCCAATGTTTGACGCTGTTCTGTAGTCAACGTCATTGATCTTGACCATCCTAACAAATTCTTTGTTGGAAGCCCTGCTGCAGCTTCGGTTGGTATCAAGTCAGCCGGTAAATTCCAATCCCGATTACGTTGTGGGTTGATGGTATATTGTAAATCTTCCAATATACATAATGCAAGAACTTTGGGTGTGGGAAAACTTTCAGACTTATAATGTGTGTTTGCTGCTACCCTCCCAAAATGTCCTTGGGCACCTGGCCATGCTGGAAAAGAAATTTTATATTTAGTTCCAGCTCCATCATTGGTATTACCGATCGACATTAGATATTCTCCAATCGGTTGTGGCAATGGATAGTTCTCACTTCTTACGTAGTCAAGAAATCTTCCCTCTTCAAAGGTACTTTCACCATAATAAGTCTTGATTGTAATCATTCTTGCATATAAATGTTGTGAACAGTACCATAAAAACATACTTTTTGATATGAATTTAGGAAAGCTTCTATCAAGTGCTTGTAAAGCATCGTATTGTCTTTCGACAAGTGGAACAAATCCTTCGGCAGTAACTGAAAATTCGTTAGTAGCGTTGTACGGTACCAACCTCTCGAATCCATCGCAGTCGAAATCGATCCACATAGGATCGTTCTTTGGTTGAGTAGGCTCTGTTGCTAAATTTTTAGGTTGTGGCCTTACTGCTGGGTTCAATTGAGGCAATGGAGGCGACACCGGTCCTGGTGTGTTCTTCACTTTTGGTCCCTTACGTTTAGCTGGAAACGACTTTTTCTTAGAGACCTCACTCGTTTGTGCTAACTGAGGATCCTTTGGATCCACAGAAATAGTCTCCTTCTGTTTCTGCATATTAGATTCCATCTAATACACCAATTATTAAATGTAACAAATAAAAATTGGGCGTGACCAATAACATAATCTTACGAGTTGAAAAATTACATATATTGAGATATCATGTATACGAATAGAAGAAAATATTATGAAACGCACCTGCGCCACCACGAATAGTAACAGCGTATCTAGGCCAATCAAGTGGAGCATCATCGGTATCAACGACCATTTGCTTCAATTCTCTTTTACGTTCAATGGTATAAGGTGGGGGCATAAATTTTGCAAAGCATTGTCCAATAATCATGTCAAACTCTATCCATTTTGTTGGGACACAGTCAATACTTGATTTTCCACCTTTAGTTTTCTCAGCAATAAATTCTACTAGCTGATATAAGTAAACTTTCTCAGCCATTATTATTGCAATATAGGGTCGATTCAACACATGCTCATTTCTAGAAAACATTAAAAAGAGGTCATATATATATAAATATATTAATGATAATGATACGATATCATAAAGATAATGGGTAAGACACGGATTGATTCGTGTTAATGTAATTGATTTGTACTTACCACGATTTCCTTGAACGTCTAGCGATAATAAAGAATTATGAACCTCGATATAACCACGATTTGACTGCGTTTAAGGAGCACACGCGAGAAACATTGTTTTGTTATTCGTAATTAAAAATTGAACGACAACGGATAGTGCAATGCTGTACGCTGGGAAATTCGAACCCCTACCACTGGGCGTGCGTAACATATTTATTATTTAATTAAATATCTTTGTACTTTGTACTAGTTTTTTGTTATTATTTCTTATTCGTGTAGAAATGGAATCACGAAAATGTTTTTCTCTTTGCCTATCCGATTGGTTCTTATTTCTAGCTGTACCATCTTATGTTTAATTCTATTTACGTTACATCGTATTATTCGCTCTGACGGTAAACTATTAAGTTGCCACATTTTAAAGTCTTTAGAGTTAGTAGGATATTCGAAAATTTTACTTTCCATGGATTTCCTTCGATTTCAATGTTCCCTCGATCTATTTGCGAGCAATTAGTAATTTTCATTATGAGAAGGATTACA